GTTAAATCAATTATACACTTATGTTAATTTCCAATGAAGAAAAAAGATATTTTTTGATCTTTATCATATTTATTTGCGATATTTATCTATTTAAATCAATTTAAGGCCCGATAAAAAATATTTTAGTTCGGTGCTATTTTTTTTTGATTTTGATATAATCTACATTCCCAAAACTTCTCTGTGACCCGGAACCCAGTAAACGCTTACCTTATTGTGAGCTGCAAGTAACTGTAGGAGCTCATAACACTCAACGACCTGTTTCGAAAATCCAAAAAGACAGAGCTTTAAGAGCACCGTGGCTGTCAGAGTAAATAACAATTTCCGAACCAGACAGTTTTTTGATGATATTGGATCTTACGCTTAAGTTAATTGCATGAATTTCAGCTTGGAAAACGCTCGGCCATACTCTAAATCATAATAATTTGTCCTTACAGAATAATGTTTAAATTTTCATTTTTATAGAGAAATTGTCAGTATAACAATACTATATAATAATACTATAATTTTTATCAATAGGTTTTTCGAACAGTAGTGAACTACAACAACAAAAATTAATTTCATATTATTTTAATTAATTGAATTTTTGGCTGATCATACAGCTGTTTCGAGTATTGCCAAATACCCATCATCAGTAGTCTTGAAATTAATGCTTGTATTTTTTTTGAGACTGCAAGAACCAGAAATCGAACTCATGTTCTGCCAAATTTGAAGCTCAGAGACAGCGCACCTTAACTAACAACCCAAAACCGTATAATTATAATTTTTATCAACATAATTTCTAACCTTTTATCTGAGATTTACATAAGTGTTACTACACTCATTTAGTTTTGCATAACGTTTCAGTAATATTTTATAAATCCAGATAATTCTTCATGGTCCACTGACATAAACTTTGTTCAGTATTAATCGTCTCATGTTTAATTGTTGGAATAAAATCGCTTTATTTTAAGCTAAAGCTATTTTTCGCTTTGCAAAATTGTACTAATTTTTTCTATCTATGCAATTCCTAAGGGTTTTATAGTATGTTAGCTACATCCAAAGTTAATTCCATGGAACTAAAAACAAATATCAGTAAAATAAATTACAAAGTAATTATATAAATGTTGGTGTTTACAAAAAAAAAAACAAATGTTTTGCTTTTAATCTCATGCTCATGCTCTTAGGGATACATATTTTTTTCTATATCTCATAAATTTATTGCATTGTTTTTTTATATCGTATTTGTATGTAAATTTCATATTTGATATATCGACATTTAAAAAATTTAATTTCCTAGGAGAGTTCATACCTCAGAGCAATATGTTTTTGCACTGTGTGTGTGTGCTGTGTCAATTTAATGTTGGCAACAGCTAAATTGCACTTTTATGTACTCGTGCTTATGCTTGTTGGTTGTTGGCTGTTGGTTGTTCATTGTTGGTTGTTGGTGAAATTATAAAAACGATTCTCTCATAACATATAAAGCATTTCATTGACTCGTTTTATGATTGCTTTTTAACAAACAAATCTAAACAGTGGACGTACAACAACAACAACGACAACAAACAACATACAGACAACAAATGTGGCTCTGGAAAGGAGTCGATAAAATTGCTTCGAATTGCTACGTGAGCGCAATTTCAGTGCAACATAAAATGAAATTAGTTTCACTTCAGGATAATTTCCGTTCGATTTTAAACGCGAACACAAGTTCTTCACTTTTTTTCCTTTTTATTTTTTTTTTTGTATTTTATTTTATTTAATGCTTTACTCTTAATTGCTTTTGTTATTGCACAATTGAAGCGCATTAGAAACTCAATTTAACTTTTTCCATTTACTTTTTGTTCCGCTTCCATTTTCTTATATGATAATTAACTGCAAAAGTGATTAAATTTATCTTTCCGTTTCAACTTGCACTTTTCTTCATCGTTCATTTTCTTTCATCGTTAATTTTTTTAAATTTATTCTATATCCCTTTTTCTTCCTTCTTCCTTCTTACTCCTTCCTCCTTCCTTTTTCCTGCTTTTAAACTAAAATCAACACTTAAAACTTCTGAAGAGTTACATTTTTTTAATGCTCCTACATTTTGCAAAATCGATGTTAAAAAGTCATTTAAGGATAATGGCTTAGTGCATGACACATACATACATTTATCATGTATACGAGTATATATATGCAATTGGTACATGGCTTGAGTTAGTGGGTAGGGCCGATGGACGATGATTGTATGGCTGTCACTTTGCAGTGCTTTACTTTTACTGCATTTCGCTGGAATAATAAATTGTCTCTACAGTTGTGGTTTCCTTTTGATGTATTGACTGCATCCTTTATAAAGTGAACATATTTAATGTGGTTGGAGATAGGAATTAAACGCTGTGAAATAAAATAATGTTTGTAGAAAAAATTTAAAAAATTAAATTTATAGTTTATTGTCCGTAAATTCTATTTTGAAGAAAAATATAAAATTACAATATGAAATTCGTTATATATACAGTGAAACTCCTTATAACAGACAGATCTTTTAACCGCACAGCTTCAACTGCCGGTCAAATTTCCTGGATATAATTTTTTCCTTGTATTTTTCTTATAAATACTATTTCTAAACCGGGCACTCTAATAACAAGACGCGGACACTACATCTCAAAACCATTTTAAACAAAAATAAGTTTTTTAAAAATCTGTAATTTTCTACTTTGTACTCGGTCTATTTCTGTTTGTGTAAAAAAGGTTAATTTTAGTCACCAATAATCAATTATATATATTTAATAATTTATAAATTACTTTCACCCAGATAGAAAACTTTTCTTTCGCGTATTACCTGAAAAACTCTCTCTCTTACATCCAAAAATTGCATCTGCAGTAAATTACAATTTTCAAAAATTTATGAAAGTCTTACCGATTTTGATCCCGGAGTTGAAATTTCACTCACAAGCTCTGCTAAATTTCAGAAAGGACTCGATTTGAAAGACTCGATGATTTCCATGGTTTTCTTCAAATATACAGAAATATCTGCACTGAAGAGAACACTGTCGAAATTCAATTTAAAGACCAAAGCGATGTAATAGACACAAGTTCAGAAGAAGAATCTAATAGGAAATAAGTGACCCCATAATATCATACGATAAGTTGTTAAAACTTAAACTTTATTTAAAATATTATTTGGGTGCAATTTAAACATAATATTTTGTACTCCCTCCTATAATCGGGCAATTCACATAACCGGACAACAACACTGCGACTCTTTCACTGTACATTATTGGAACAAATGATTTAGTAGTTCAGTTCCTTATTCTTAGTTTACTTTTAATTATTTTTCTGTTTATGAGGTTTCACATATCACATGTCATTATAATATTTAACCATTTTCCACAAGGTAGTTTATTTAGTTCCGTCCTAGTTCCATCCTTTAAGCAGCAGATATACCAACTTCGCTCAAAAGAGATGATATGATAGTCTAATTTGCTGACGACACAAACCTTTTATCCACGCATATCATGTTAAGATGGATCAGAATAATTTACAAATTATAATAATAATAATTATACAAATAAATGCAAAGAAAACGTTACAAGTCACCTACAAAAATAAAAGTAAAAAAAAAGGTCATTAAAGATTAATAAATCAATTCATATTGACACGAAAGCTAAATATCTGGGAGCAACAATAGATTAAAAACTCAAATTGAAAGACCACAGGTTAGGTTAGATTAGAGTGACGGTTTTACACGCGAATTGAACTCGTGCCCTGCCAAATTTGCAGCTCAGAGTCAGTGTTTATTAGCCAAATAACCCAAAGCCGTACTTTTTTATATTCGCCATTTTTCTGGAGTTTTGTTAATTTGCTGTGAAAGTTTTATTAACAAATAGAATAATTATAGAGTAATAATAGCTATAGAATAATTGAATTAGTTAATTTTATTTTTATTTTTATTTTTATTTTTATTTGTTAAGTTTCATATTATTTTAACAATTAGTTTTTGTTTTAAATTAAAGGAATTACCAATGGCCAAAAACCGGTGTTTTTTACCCAAACCATATAATTGGTGTTTCAAATATTCCTGCTGGTATCTGTAGTAGATGTGCCTGTAAAACTGAAAATATAATTCTAACAGGCATATAGCCAAAAAGAAACACATATAGTAAAAATTATGATTTGTCTGCTGAATGCGAAAATATATATACGTAGACACTTTTTAAAATAAATAAAAAACTATAATATTATGATGTTTAAATATAAATAATTAAAAAAATTAATGAGGGGACTAATTGGTCATATAATAAAAATTAAAAAAACTATAATTTATTATTTATATTGAAACAAATTATTTTGTTAAGATATTTTCCAATATTTCGACTATCTTCGATAGTCATAATTTATTAAATACCATACACATACTTGTAGAAACATGACTATAATTTATATTCTTTTATTTTATATTAACGCTTATTACGACCATCGGTTTGAACGAGTGAATTGTCAGTACTTCTTAACATACGTATACTACTTTGAGAAATTGCACAAAGCCAGGCTTTGAGAAGACTTTTCAAAGTTCCTTGGTACATTAGGACGAATGACATACTCAGGGACCTCAAGATTGATCCCATCAAAAAATACATAAAGGATAGAGCCCTGAAGTTATTTGCGAAATCTGACAGACTTACTAACACCGCGTTATCAAATCTCAGAATGGTTACAGGCTCCTCGGGGAGATATGCAGATCTGAGGTCAATTATTGCCTAGTTTAATGAAGTGATAAACAATAATCCAGTCAAGGCGCAAAGAGGGGTTTTGTAGAAACCTTGCAGTTAATAGAGAGTAAAAGTGCTCAGGTGCACTGACTCAACTCAACTAGCCTCAACATATGTTGATAAATTTCTTAAATAATTTATGAATAATTTACTTAAATTAATAAACAAAAAATGCATATTATTTAGTATTATTTTATAATCACATTCATAACTTAATTATTAATTATTTCTTTATCAACTATTTGTACTAATTAAATATTTTGTACACCATTTCAGTTAAGCGAGGACATTGGATATGTATTATATTCCGCCCTGGGTTCGTTTTATATACCCAGTTGCATTATGGTTTTTGTTTATATACGAATTTATTTTGCTGCGAAAGCTCGAGCGAGAAGAGGCATTAAGAAGCATCCGCGAAAAACAAACAACGAACAGGTGAGTTCTGCAAAATTTGCTAATAGCTTGAAAATTTTAATACTTTTGCATTCTAAACAAGAACTAATTTAATTAGTAGTAGAACAATACCCCTTAGTGTCTGTAGCATCTGAAGGATGCGCTGATGCAGCATTTGCAACAACTCATGCTGATAGCTGCAAAAATAATAAACGCAACTGCAACGACTGCAACGACTACAACGACTACAACGACTGCAACAATAATGAAAGAGCTCTAAGCAATAATTGCAGTTGCATGAAATTTAAGTAAAATTGCGAGCTTTTCATTACATTAACAAAATGTCAAATGTAGTATTTAGGGTTTACCCTACTGCATTTCCAATATTTTCCTTTATATTTTGGTGTAATAATTAATATTGAGTTGTGCTGATCACAGCCAAAAGCAACATTAAACACTTCAAACTGCAAGCATTTATTCATGTATGTTTTCCGGGAGAACGGGAGAAAGGGAGAAAGAAAGATAGTTGAGTGGCAGTGCAAAGCAATTACAAAATGCAATTCCAACTTAGTGCATGTCAGTGTTCTCGACTATGACTTATACAAAGTCGTTGCACATTTCATTGAGTGATTTGGAAGTGCAGCACTACATTTGAAAAAATAAAAATATTTAAACGCATCTTCAGCAAATACCACTCATCAAACTCAACTTCTCTAGTTTTGGAAAATTTACTATATTGACGATACTACACAAAGTGATAGTTTACTTACATTCTATCTCTTGCATTGAATACTAAAATACTGTATAATTTGTTTTACTTACAATGCAAAAAGAAAAAAGACTGCATTTCCAACTGCAGACAGTATTTGAAAAGCAGCTTTTACAATAGATGAACGGCATTGGAAACTGAAATATGCAACAGAGCACAGAAAAAAGTTGATGAGCCGTACAAAGACAGCGCTTAAATATCGGTACGATATTTACTTCGAACAAAAAAAACTAACTTTGTAAACTAAAAATTCAATAGTGAGTGAGTTTACATTCAAAAAAATTAAGTTGAACCCCTCCATTTGAGAATCAAAAAATTATTTTCATTTCACTTGTAATCAATGCAGTCTGAAATGCAACAATGTTTGCAGAAGAAAAAAATTCCCATTTCGCTATACGAATGTGTCAATAAAACTGTGAAAATTGTGCTGAACATCAGGAACTTTGCGAATGGAGAGGGCAAAATAGTGCTGAATATCAGGAAGTTTGCCAACGGAAAATATCAATGTGCCTTTAAAAAAAATTTCCAATTGTATGTTTGCCATAACTGTTGAAAATTGTTAAACATTTTAATATTTAACAAGTGAATAAAATCGCATTTCACTTCTTTGATACTTTTTATCTGTACTTTAAATGCATCAAAGCCAACGCGTGAGGCATTAATCCTATGGACCATTTTTTAACAAATGATTTATAAAACCCACAGAGCACTCATAGCGTGAAGATTTAGTGTACTATGAAACCCATTTTGATATTTGCAGTTCCTTTTGTTAAGCGGAGAACATTGGGATGTAGTGAACAATATTAGAAATTCCCCTGAAGAAGAAAAAAACAAATTTGCCGAAGTACGTACAGGAATATACAAAAAATACGATCGAAATAAAAGTTAAAATCCTAAAAAACAAAACCGACTTTAAGCAATTGATATATAAGCTTATTACAATGTCGGACTCGAGAACTTTATGTCTGCGTTATGAGAGAAAGAAGAAGTCTCAAATTGTTTTACGTGATTTCCTGCCTTGATGGCTCAACATCACTGTGCTCTTAACACACGTATTAATATAAGCGTCAATCAACGTCCCATTGGAATAGCCTTACTTATTCCGCCGGTACCAATGAAGAAATTCATGTAAGTCATAACTTCTACCTTGTTGACATGCGAGGCCTACCTAAAACCTCTGCCACAATTTGGGCTGTAGCACCCGGTATGAAACGCACTCCACGGCGAATGAATGACAATCCTCAAATCATTCTTCAGTGCGAGCCACTGACCCTCGTAGTACCAGATCGGATCATCTCTGGTCAGATGTCGCAAGTTGCTGACTCAACTCACTACCATTTATACTTCCTATATAAGTGTCAGACTGGCACTGGGGGATTTTAGTCGCCTCTAACGACTGGCATTCCTGACCGCGGAAGTATTCTTATCCCCTATTCACAGGGAATCATGAGAGAGAGAGCTGGACAAAAACATAGAAAATGTTTCCAAGAATCATCGTCTCAAGGTCTTTTAAACAAAGTGGACATAACATAAGTTGTTCTCAGCACGGCCGACTCAAGTAGTGCTTGGAACACGTGGCATAACCGAAGACCGAATCAATTAGCAAAGTACAATTCTTTCAATTCAGCATTACTTATTTCATTTAGATCTGGATATTAACAATTAATAAATTACAAAGTGACAAATATTCTGTGTACATCCGACAATGTAAAAGTCAATAATGTTTTCAAAATACGATTAGTAGATAGAATTGACAAACCGCAATTATATTTTGGTTGAAATATGTTGTTAATCCATATATGTTAGCTTTTCAATATAATTTTTGCTGAAATTATTGAATAAAGCCAGATTATTTTTTTCTCTATTACAACTATTAAATATATTCATAAAATAAATTTTTAATGTCACTTTTTTTTTGCCGAAAGTGACGGGTCTTATGACGAAAAGAAACTATTTAAATGTTAGAAGGGTTTGAATAGAAATTAAAAGACAACAACAAAAATATTTTATATTTATTTTTAAATAGACTGTCTAGTTATTTGAGTATGTTACTCATAGTTACAATAAATTCAATACATTCTGGGCTTACCCCACATAATTTTAGGAAGACTAACTGTAAGAAATAATATAAAAACTTGATGACACTTACAAAGTTAGTCCATTTAACAGTAAGCCTAACATATCTTTTTAAATGGAGAATTTTATTCGTACTGAAAAATACATTAAAAGCAGAAATTTAATAATTTAGCTCTAAATCTCATAGACAATAGCTAGTCTGAGGAAATATTTCAGGTTTCAGATCTACCAAGTTAAACTCTTGTAATTGTCTTTTATCAAAAAATTCGATACTTGTTATAATATACATTACTAATATAATATATGAAATAGATTACTGTAATACATTAAAAAAATATCAAACTTTCCAACTAATACATTATCACATATATATATACTTATAAGTTCTAAGATTATATATGATACTTCTTATTATAAATAATATTCAATCTGTATGTGATGTAGGCTAAATGAGACTCACTCTGGTTTTTATTATTTTTCTATAAAAAATCAATTATAACACAAAATAAATAAATGATTTGGCATACCGATTTTTAACAATATGCAAAACTCTTTAAATATGTTTACAGAAAAAAAGTGATCTTGAATAATTATCCAGAAATGGTTTCAATAAATAATAGTGTCCAAATTTGAAAACATAATAATTTGCAATAGTTAAGTTAAGTTAACATATATAGCTGTGATTTATCTGTTAGTTCTAATTAAAATTACAGCAGGTGATAAATAAACAAAAAACCAAAATAATTTTTTTATTATTATTTCTATTTTTATTTAAAATATATTTTTTAACATAGAACAAAATAAATAAATTTATTATTAATTTATTTATTTTGGTTATTTCATTTCATCATTAACATGATTTTTCATTTACAAAATTCTTTCTATATTTCCCATTTAAACCTAGTCAACTGGAATAGTTTATTTATTTAAGTCAAAATTATTATTATAAAACATATTTAAATTCTTTTTTTTTCTGAATTTATTACTATACTTGATATAATTAGTTACAAAATTATAAGTAAAAAAAAGTAAAGTAAAGTAGATATCATGTTTGCACGATTCAAAAAGTTACCAAAATCCTCTAATACTCGTCACTCAAAATCGAATATAAAAAAGCAAAAAAAATGGAGGCAAGAATTCATGAGAAACTACGTGAAAAATTCTTTACAAAGTGTCTATGATGGGCAGCCAGCCTATAGTAGTTCCACCTCAGTAGTACATGAAAATATAATTAGATTTATTCCTACATATAATTGTCAACCATCTTTCGTTCCGATTATACAACATGACTTTCATCCTAATAAAACCAATATATTGACAAAGAAACATATCACAACTCCGCATTGTGCTGCAATCACTGAAAATTTTACTCAAGGAGCTGCAGTAAAAAATGTTGCTAAAAATGTTCCATATAAAAATTTTGCCGAAAAGCCCAATGTTAAGAATCCTAACGAAGTAATTGATATCAACAAATCATTGAATCATACCGACAAATGTCCTTTGTGCAAGCAAAAAGATCTGCTTTCAAGTTCTAATACAAAACGTTTAAAAGAGTTGGAAAAAGAAATGTTCACTGTACGTTATCAGTTAGAGGATTTAGTCAAACAATTAAAGGATGAGAACTTAACCAAGGACCTACTAGAGAAGTTAGTTCCTATGCATACGCCCGATTCTGTTGAAACTCATATGCCATCAGTTTGTCGATCTTATAACTCAGGAGCAACAAATCCTTTATGTAGTCTCTCTAAACCACATAATGTGATTTTTAAAAAACGAACACCCTTGAAAAAGGAATCATTTGGCAATGTTGAGACTTTGGTACTTCCAAATGACACCAAAGAGAAAACGATGATGCAGGAACTCAAGCAGAAAATTAGAGATAACTTTATAAGCAAAAAAATCTTCAATTGTAATAAACCTGAAAAGAATTCAACTGATATATTAACTGCAGCTTCTTCAAATTGCAAATCATCAGTTAAATTTGTTAAGCCATGTCATAGTAAGAACAGTGGAGGAAAGTTTTTTGGAACCAGCAACACTAATGCGTACAATAGTCAGGACAATAAAAATGAATTAACATCAGGTGTGGCTTTACGCAACAGATCAACTGTTAACACCTTAAACTTACAATATTGTAATCCAAAGTTTAAAACTGATTCCGAAACTACCAATAGTTCAGGTATTAAACAAACTCGAG